TATTGTAGTTTAGTTGTGGGTTGAGATAAGGACAATTTAATGAGTCCTTTTTTCCCTTTACCCCTTTAATTCTCTCCCCTATCCTCGAGTGGGGGGGGGTTTGGCCCCCAGCCAAGGGCTAACCCATCACAACATCTTCTTTTCCCTCTTCTGCCTAAGAAAATTGAAAGGAAAAGTGGCCTTTTGGGATGGGAATATGGGGTGACTTTTGGTAGGTCAGAGATTAAGAGAGAAAACTCTGAAGTTGGAGACTTTGCCGTATTGACACTGAACTGCAATAGCACTATGGTGATAAAAATTTCTAATAGTGGTCAAGGATTTTGTGCATTGGGCATGTGGAGCATATTTGTATAGCTTTTCAGCCAAAATTGTAGACAGCTGTTAATCCAAGTAGTATTCAAGTCCAAATAACATAGAAGTATTAATCTGCAGCAGTATTTTTTCACACTGCATTGTTCTAATCTTGTGAATGCAGGACGCTGTTAATAGTAATATTTGCAAGTGAAAACTGCATCACTTACTGTCGCAATCTGCTTCGGGCCAATGTTTGATCTTTCATGCTTCACGTTCATTGTGTTGATGTCCAGGCTCAGAACAGATGCTTTTACGTATGTGAACTTGGGCTCCTAAGAGGAAACTCAGGAATTCAAACTTTAGTTCAGAATCTCCCTTTAACCACTGTTACAGGTGGAGAGACCCATCCAGGAAGGAGAAGTGATGGGAAGCTTCCCAAAATTCTTCTCCATTCAACCTGTTCCCAAAGGAAGGCGTAGATACAAACCATTTTCCCGAGCGTACCATGAATAGACTGTTTCTTCACCGAAGGATGATGCATTAAAGTAATTTTCTGTTTGTAAGAAGCAGAGCTTAAAATAGACGAGCATGTGAGAATGTCTCCTTCCTAAACATAAAGGTTTCTTTGTGTCATAATAAAGTACAGGCCTTTACAAATTTGTATTCTTAATGCCCCTCTTACGTGTATTTTGTTCTTTTTGTTGAGATAGCCAGCCTTATGATGTCTGGTTTTGTGAAAAAGCTTCCCCCCCCATCTAGTGTTGCAATTTTCCATTTTATCTCATTTTCTGGTCAGATAGTTTTGATTTGCATTTCCAGTGTCTGATTGTGTTGTGTTTCTGTAGCTGTTCAAACCTTCCTTCTATTCCATTCCTCTTCTTTTTCTTTTCTTTTTTTCTTTTATTTTTAAATGTACAGTGCTTTGCCTTCTTTCTAGGTCTCTATTAACTCTCTGGAGTGCTAAACTTAAGAGTATTAATAGCTGAGAGATCACCCGTGGCATACTTACATGTAGACAAGTTGTTTGAACTTGTAACACTTGGAAAATGAAAGTTAATGTATTTGTTTTATTATTCCCATGGAAACAAGATATTTATAATAAGCTTGTAACAACAAGTTACAAATATACACAAAGAAGCTGATTCTTTGTAGCAGTTGCTTAATAGAAATAAACTAGTTTGGGGTTTTTTAGGTTTTTGGTTTGTTTGTTTTTTCTTTTTTTAGTTCATGACCTCGGAAGA